GGGGGGGTGCAGAGCCCTGGCCCGATTTGCAGCCCGAAGGGTGACCCCGGTGCGGTTCTGCAGTGGCCCCCGTGCAGCTCCACGCCGGCCCCGCTGCAGCGCTAACGGGGAGGAGGGGGGGCCCGATGCGGCCGCACCGTCGTCCTCGGTGCAGCCTGGGGTCCCCCGGTGCGGCACCGGGGTTCCCTCCGCGCTCCGTACCCCACAGAAGCGGCCCCTCTGCCCGGCACGTCCCCAGCCCCCCCCAGGAGGGACGGATGCCCCGGCTGCCTCGTCCCCTGGGCCGTGGGGCACAGCCGGTGTCCGGGCCCTCGTCATCGCCGGGCTCTGCTCCGGCATTAATTACCGTTCCAGGCTAATGCCTGAAAACGCGCCGTGGTTGTGAGTCACTTCGGTCACGGCCGCTCTACCCGGAGAAAACACCAGTGCGGCAGCGAGTATAATTTTAACCGGAGGTGTCAACAGCCCGGCGTGCTGCGGGCGCTGATCCGATTGAGATGCCGGGGAGAGGGGCTGCAGCCCCTGCCGGCCCCCCATGCTCGGGCCGGCATTGCAGGAGATCCGGGCCCACCAGCAGAACCAGGATACGACCCCCGCGAAGTTTGGAGCCGCAGATAACTCTAGAGTTTCTGTTGGGCTCGAAACGAGCATCGGGCTGGCTGGCACGAGTCGGGGACCCCCGGCTCTGGGCTGTTCCCAGGGGTGTAAACGTGTATGCAGGGGCTCGCTCACAGCTCTGGATCCACGTGCAAGTGCTTCCAGCGGCATTTCTTAAACCAGTGAGGGTGCTGCGAGGATGGCACCCGCATCCCAGCCGTGGGCACCCCACAGCCGGGCTGGGAGCAGGACACCCCCCACTCCGCACCCCGCTTTCTCCCCACCCAAGGGGGGCCGCCTGCTTCGAGCTTCGTCTCGTGGTGCTGAGATGCCACGGGAAGGGAAGGGACAGAGCTGCTCCTGCGGCGGGAACCATCTCCGAGCCGTCTTGCTCTCGTTTGGGCGGCCTAGATTCGTCCTCCCCCGTGCGCAGCATCTCTTCTCCCGGCAGCTCCCGGCACCGGCGCTGCCAGGTCCTGGCTGACGTCAGCCGAGCTGCTCGTGGCCGTGGAGTGGGGCCCTGGAGCTGCCGGCGTGGGGCAGGGTTCAGTTCCCGTTGCCCCTGGTCCTGCAGCATCCTCCCCGTCGCCTGCCCTGGATGCAGCGTGTGCATCAGCCCTGGCCCTGCCTCAGTTTCCCCATCTGATCAGCAGATTCCGATCAGCAGACTCAGCCGAGCGGCTGCTCGGGATTAATGATTTGAAGATGGCGAATACATATGGCTTTTGAGAAATTCCAGTTTCCTGGAACAAAGGAAAGGCCAAATCTGGGCTCCCCGGGAGAGGGACAGACTCTGCGTCCCAGATGCCGCTTAGGTGCAGGGGTGATGGAGGGGCTTCGCCCAGGCTGTGAGCATCGAAGATTTTATCCTGCGCTTGTCACTGGTATCTGGGCACCTACTTCAGATGTTTGGGGGTTTTTTTCCCCCCCTTTGTGCTGGGAAGTGATTTGGTGCGATAGAAAAATGTTGGTTGGTTTTCCGAGTAGGGAGTAAAGTGTTGGAGGGGCCAGGAACAATGCTCCCCCGGCAGCCCTGGCATCTGCTTTGTTCAAGGAGTCAAAAGCAGCATCAAGCCAAGATTGCTCTAATTTGAATATTAAAAGTGAGTTGGATTCAGTTTAGTTCTTGCACTAAATAATTACATGTTCTAATTACATAATTAGCACAGTATACGCCTTTTGTATTCTCACAGTTTCCCAGGTCGCTGCAGCCTATCAGTTGGGAAACTTGCTATGAGCCGCCGGCGGGAGCTGAGATGATTTTTGGGTTTTCCCGGTTCTGGGGACGGTGTCCCGAGGCCACGGTGAGGGTCAGCCAGGCCCCTGCCGGCAGGTTCGGCCACGGTGCCGGGAGCTTTGCCCCTGCCACGGTGCAGGCAGCTGATGAAGATGTAATCTGACGTTTTGATTAGCTATCACTTCTCCACTGGAATAACTTTTTATCAGCAACACGTTTTAAAATGTGCTAAGCACAGTGGTGATGTTCGGGGTGAATTAATTCCGGTTTGAGCGCGGTGGGAATCCCTGCCTGTCTCGCCTCTGGAGTCGTGTAGGGATGAGGAGATTCATGTCAGGATTCCCAGGCAGAGCCGAGCTGCTGCCGGATGCCGGTGTGCCCCAGCCCTGCCTGCGCTTTCCTGGCTGCTGCTTTATATGCCTTAATTTATCGCTGTTTTGCTGATAACCCCTTTTCCTCCCCGTTTGCCGTGACAGCCTTCGGGTGGGATACGAGCACCCGGTGTCACCCGTGCCCCGCCGCATCCCTCAGCTGCGCGGGGACCATGAGCACGAGCGGCCCCTGGGAATTGGGGCTGAGGGGTTTGGATGCTAACGATGCCGTTCAGGAACGTCTTCCGCAGCCTGTCCCAGCGTGTCGCTCCCCGCGATGCTGCAGAAGTAGAGGTCGGCGGCTGGCTTTGGTGGTGGCCGGTACCCTGCTGCATGGTGCAGGGGCTACCCAGTGCCTGTGGCTCCTTACCCAGGGCAGGACCCATGTGCCGGGGGGTGGGCACGACCCCCTTGCAGGTTCTGAGGTTTCTCAGGGGGGGAAAGCATCCCTCTGGCCGGTGCAGACCCCGCACCGGGGCTGGGGGCACGCGCACCGCTGCTCCGAAGCCGCCGGGTTTTGCTTTGCCACGCTCGCGGAATCCGGTCGAGGCCAGACCGGAGCGTGGAGGATGCGGGGCCGTGCCACCGCCATGACGGACGCCGGCAAGCGCTCGTGCCCGAGGGGTCACGGGCTCAGCACCGCGGGGGCAGCCCCGGCCCCGTAGGAAATAGTTGAAATTCCTTGAAATTCCTCGCACGTCTGGCGGGGAGGCCAGGGGGCTGCTCCGCCGCTTCCCCCCCGCCACGTGCCGGGACACGGGGCGTCGCTCCCCGGCACCCGTCCCTGTGTGTCCCCGAGGATGGGAGCCCTGCACCCCCGGGGGTCTCTCCAGCTTTCCTCCAGCCCTGGGCATCGCTGGTGAGGCAAACTGGCAGCCCCTGCTGTAGGAAATCGCTCTGTTTCCATAGCATCTGCGTTGCCGCCTGGGAGCGCCTGTGTCTGCACGCCGGGGGCCGGCGTGGCACAGCCGCGGCCGGTGAGGAGGGGGCCACGCTCGGAGGCGAAGGGTTTTGCCCGAGGGCAGCGAGGAGGTGGGTGGCGGAGCGGCTCGGTGGGGTGCAGGAACCCCCCCGGTGACATCCCGTCGCTCTTCCCCGGCACCTCATCTGCCCGGTCCTGTCCGCAGGTCCAACCGCGACTGCCAGATCGACCAGCACCACCGCAACCAATGCCAGTACTGCCGCCTGAAGAAGTGTTTCCGTGTGGGGATGAGGAAGGAAGGTAACGCCGGCGCCGCGGGGACGGGCACTGTTCCCACGGGGTACCGGTGAACCCCACCACCGCAGCGTGGGGCTGCCGGTGCCCGCTCTGCTCCCGCTGCAGCCGGGCGCTCTCCCACCTCTTCGGGAACCCTGTTTGCATCGAAACCCCCCGTTTGTCCCCCCCTTTGGGTTTTTTTTTTTTTTGTGGGTTTTTTTTTGGTTCTCCTTGAATTGCCCTCGGTGCCGGCAGCGCAGGTGGTGTTTGTTTGGAAAAGCCGGAGCCTTGAGCTGATAAGGTGACACACCTGGAGCCCGGATGGCCTCAGCGCCCCAGGCGCGGTGGAGGTCGGCTGGGACGGGCTCCCGGCACTGCCAGAGACAGGCAAATCTCCTGGCCGCTTTCTGGTCACTCCCCATCACCCAGGGGTGTGAACCCCAAATGCTTACCAGGCTGCTGCAAACGGGACAAAGGGTTTAGCCCAAAATCTCAAATCCCCGTGGCAGGATGGGGCTGTGCCAAGGCACGCGCGGGGATGGAGGTGCCGGGGCTCAGCGTGGGCTCTGCCGCGGTGCTGGGGCTGCTCGGCGGCAGGTGGCATTAATGCAAGGAGCAAGGGGGGAAGGCTACTGGAAGCAGGACAGTAATTCCCTCCTTTCCAGAGGAGTCGAGATGGCATTATTGCCACTTAGCATGATTTAGAGCTCTCATTTAAGTGGCTCATGAACAGCCCATAAATTAATTACTAGGGACTGAGCAAATAGTGGGCGCTAATGGGAGAGGGGGGGAGCTGAAAAATGGCTCTCCCTGAATGCAATTAGGAGGGGGAGTGCCCCAGGGTTAACGACGCTTCCAAGATGGACGTTTTATTTGCAAATAAATGATTGCTGCCATGCAATGACCTTGGGTAGCAATTGCCCTGCTCCGCTGCAGCTGGCATGGGGGGGCCGTGGTGCCGGCGGGGCACCCGGTCTGGCACGGCATGGCCAGAGCTGCAGCCGCTCCTGTGCCAGGCCCTTGCAGAGGAGGAGGTGACACGGATGCTGTCCCAGCCCGGCTGCTGGTCGGAGACCATGGCCAAGCCACAGTGCCGGCAGCCTGGGAGTTGCTGGTGAATCGCCGGGATGCTAAATAGATTAGTGTAGCTCTCGCAGGCAGCTCGCCGGCGGGCGCAGCGGGCGGCACGCACCACCTCCCTCTCCCCGAGCGCCTGAAAGCCGCCCATTGTTCCCCTGGGGTGGCAGGATCCGGCCCTGCCGGGGATGCTGGGATGCTGGGTGGGTGGTGGGAGCATCCCTGTCCTTCCTCGCCCTGCATGGGGCAGAGGGAGCGGGATGGGGGATGCAGCGGGATGCAGAAGTGAGCAGACACCTCCTCTCCTTCCCCCTAGCCGTGCAGCGGGGCCGGATCCCCCCCACCCATTCCAGCACCAGTCCCAACACCATGCCCAGCGGGGAATACTTCAACGGGCAGCCGGTGTCGGAGCTCATCTCACAGCTGCTGCGGGCTGAGCCGTACCCCGCCGCCCGCTACGGCTCGCAGTACGCGCAGCAGGGCAGCGTCATGGGCATCGACAACATCTGCGAGCTGGCCGCCCGCCTCCTCTTCAGCACAGTGGAATGGGCCCGGAACATCCCGTTTTTCCCTGAGCTGCCTGTCTCCGACCAAGTAGCCCTGCTACGGCTCAGCTGGAGCGAGCTCTTCGTCCTCAACGCGGCACAGTCGGCGTTGCCGCTGCACATGGCCCCGCTGCTGGCCGCCGCCGGCTTCCACGCCTCCCCCATGTCGGCCGACCGCGTCGTCTCCTTCATGGACCAGATCCGCATCTTTCAGGATCAGGTGGAGAAGCTCAACCGGCTCCAGGTGGACTCGGCCGAGTACAGCTGCCTCAAAGCCATCGCGCTCTTCACGCCGGGTAGGTTGGTGCCGCGACCGGGCTCTGTCCCCATCTCTGCCCCACGCAGTTGTGAGCCCCCAAGGAGTATCTGTCCTCGCCTTTCCCTGGGGTTTTGGGGTCCAGAGAGCATCGCATGGCTCTTGGGGGAGATGGCAGAGAGTCCTCGTGCCCTGGCACTTCTCCACCGTGGTTTGCAGCATCCCGGCTTGTCCGTCTGGGTACAGGGATGAGCTTCCTCGGGGCAACAGGAATGAGAGCTGCAGAAACAAATACCCCGCCATGTACTGGGGGGTCTTGGGGAGCCCCGTCCCTCGGTCCATCTATGCTCATTTAATGCCACAGAAGTGCCTGGTCCTTCGTGGCAGCAACAAGCCTGCAGCAGCCCTTTGCAGCCGGAGTGGTCCAAGCCGTGCTCTTGCACTGTGCTGCAGCCAGGTGCATGCCCTAATTCAGCGAGGAGTGTGGCCGTGGCAGCTGGTTAAGGAGGAGGGGGGGCTCACTGGGGATATGGGGGGCTCCAACCAATGATCCCTCTCCATCCCATCCCTCTCGTAGACGCCTGCGGCCTCTCGGACCCGGCGCACGTGGAGAGCTTGCAGGAGAAGGCGCAGGTGGCCCTCACCGAGTACGTGCGCTCGCAGTACCCCTCGCAGCCCCAGCGCTTCGGCCGGCTCCTGCTGCGGCTGCCGGCTCTGCGAGCCGTGCCGGCCGCCCTCATCTCCCAGCTCTTCTTCATGAGGCTGGTGGGGAAGACGCCCATCGAAACACTAATCAGGGACATGCTGCTGTCCGGGAGCACCTTCAACTGGCCCTACGGGACGGGGCAGTAGGGGACAGAGCCTCTCCCCCCCCACTGGGGACACCCCAGCGACCCCCAGCAGCCGGACCTGGATTCCCTCCAGCACCCTGAGACGGTACCGTCCCCGGGGAGCCCCGAACTGCACCGACCCCCCCCGCCCCGCAGCCGTCTTGTAGCTCGTCCGTCCGCCACAGCAGTGGGGGCTGCTCCCCCTGAAAGCAGTGGGGTCGCGGCGTTATCCTCCTAACCCCGAAGGTACTGGCCGTGCCGCCACTGCTGGACGCTGAACATTCCTGTACCCCCCTGAAGCGGAGATCCCTGGCCGCCCCGGTCTCGTCCGGGGACCTCAGAGCATCCCCGGGGCTGGTCCCTCGCTCTGTCCCGGTGTCGGAGCCGGACTGGAGCCTGGGGAGGGGGACGCTGTCCTCTGGCTGCCCCTCCAAATCTGAATTTCAGATGGCAGAGGCTTGGACAGGAGGTGATGGGAGGTGGGACCAGCCAGGCTGGGATGTGGGGGGGCCCCTGGCCGTGCAGAGCCCTTCTCTGGGGGGTCCTGCTGCCTCTGCCCCCTTCCTCAGTCCTGGCAGTCGTGGAAAAAGGGTCATTTGAAGCCCCTTTGTGCCCTGCCCAGGGGCTGCCCCTGCCTGCTCGGGCCGTATCCAGCCTCAAGGACTGAAGGGTCAAGCTTGGAGCAGCCCCTTTTTTGGGGACTGGGCTCATCCGTGCCTGGTCCCAGCCCCCCCTCCCTGCACTTTCCACTGAAGCATCTCCACTGTCGGGACACGGGGAGGGGTACACGGGAGGGGATGGGGGTTCACAGGAGGGAATGGGGGTACAGGGGAGGAGATGGGGGTACACAGGTGGCTGACCGGGGCCATGCACGGGTGCAAACCAAGTGGTCCTTTTTGGGTGCTGCACAGCATCCAGCCCAGCCCTTCTCCCCTGGGCTTGTTCCCCGCTGCCTCACTTGGTGCTTTGCCCCACCCCAGGCCAGATCCAGCACCCATCACCATCCCCACACTGGGGCAGATGGGTGCCAGGATCCCCCTCCCCATGCTCGCTATGTTCCTGTGCCTCATTTTTTTTTTTTTAAAGCTAGGTTTGGGGGAGAGAGGATATGTTGGGGGGGACCAAAATCAGGCTGGGAAGAGGTGATGCTGCTGGGGGGGGGGGGTGGGGAGGTCCTTGTCCCCAGGGCTGAGCTGTGCTGGATGAAGGGGCACATGGGGAGGGGGGGCAGAGCCACCTCAGAGGGATGGGGGATGCCCCATGGCCTCCCCCCCCGGGCTCTGCTTCTCAGGGGTATCCACCATGCAAACAGACGGAGGCAGGATTAGCCGGGGATTTGTCATTTAGATTGATTCACTGAAAATATAATCCTTGTTCAATGATACTAAACAAATTAACTGAAGTCAATAAAAGATGTTTCTTACAATGCCAGGGATCTGCTGTGAGTAGGGAAAGGGGCTTATCCTGCAGTGATGCTGAAGCCCACCCTGGGGTGAGGGGGCAGATGAAGCAGAATGGGAGATAGTGTTCCAAAAAAAATTAATCCCCTATAAGGTATCTAAAATTGGATGGGTTTTGGAAATCCTGGAGATTTGGGGGGGGCCTGGGTGATGTTCTTCAACACAGGGCAGGTCCCTCGGGAATAAATTGTGTTGCCTGCGGTCTGCTAGGGAAAGGATCAGCAGCATGAAGGGCAGCAGGAGCCAGCACAGAGGTTAGTACCTGGTCTTTGGGGGGGGGGGGGGGGTGGGGTCCCCCCTCCCAAGATAAGGGGGTTTGGGGGTCCCCCCATCATGAAGGAGCTGGGTGTGGGGTGCTGTGTTTGTCCTGCATGCATGGGATGCTGGGGTGTCTGGGCTGCATCGGTGGCTGGACCAGCCTTGGGGAGAGGGGAATGCGGGGGGGGTCCCGGTGTGGGGTCTGGGCAGCATAGGGGCTGCTGCAGCCCGGGGCAGGGCTCGGGGGCCTGCTTTGGGGAACTGCAGCTGCTCCCCACAGCACATGCAGGGGTGGGGGTGCAGGATCCATGCAGCACCCATCGCACTCAGGGCTTGGGGCAGGATCTGTGCGGCCCCACCGGGATGTCGGCTCCACGGGCACCGGGAAGCGCCAGGGCTGTGCCAGGGTGACCGTGTACACAGACAGCCCCCGCATCCAGCCCGGGGCACCCACCTACCAGAGGTACCGCTCCCATGCACAGCTCCGCAGTGGCCCCTTTCACATCAGCACTGCTTTAAAATCAATAGATACAGTTTATTTCTTTAAAAAAAAAAAAATTACACAGTTTCAGCCAGTTCCTTAAAAAATATCACCCCTGGCCCAGGGCTGCTCCCCCAAGGGCAGCCGTGGGGGCTCGGGGGGATGTAGGGCTCTGCACGGCCAAGGGATGCTCTGCCCCGTCCAACCCGAGCAGCACATCCCTGCCAGCACCGGGCTGCAGCCACGGTTTGGTACCCCAACCTCAGGGCCGGCAGGGTCAGCCGGGGGCTGTGGACTCTCCCCAAATATATTTACAGCAGCGGGAAGGGATGCAGGATAGGAAGGCACAGGGAGCCCTCGCTCCAGCAGCCCCCTCTGGCCCCACACCCTTGGCACTGACATCACGGGGTGGCTTTGAATCTTGGGTTTGGGGGTTTTTTTATACAAACAAAGGTACAAAACGCACCAAAGTCTTTGGAGGAGTGGGTGAGGAGCAGGGAGCCCCTCGTGCCCATCTTGCCATGGTGGGGGGGGGGTGGGCACAGGCTACCCCCGCACCTTGTCGTAGTCGCTCACCATCCGCTTGATGTGGAAGAGTTTGTTGCGCAGGGTTTTGGTCTCCAGCTTCTTTGTCTGGTAGTCGGGGCTCTGAAAGGCAGCACAGGACCCGCCTCAGCTGCACGGGCCCTGGGGAGGGGGCTGCAGCTGGGGGGGCAGTGGGTACCGTTTCCACCTCCCCCAGCTACATCGCACCAACCCAGCCCCACTTCAGCTGGAAACTGAGACCGGCCGCGCTCCGCACACTCACCCGCTTTAGATCCTTCAGCCTGTTGTACTCTTCTGCGACGTCCTGTGAAGGGAAGGGGGTGGGAGGGGGTGTCACAACCGGTGGGCACCATGGCTGGGGGCCACACAGGTGGGCACCCCACGGGGACAAGTGCTGCCCTGCAGCATCCCCGATGCCCTGCAGCATCCTGAGTCCCCACAGCATCTATTCCTGATCCACCACAACATCCATCCCCGATGCCCTGCAGCATCACGAGACCCTGCAGCACCCATCCCTGACCCCACCGCAGCATCCATCCCCCCGCGTCCCTCAGCATCCCAGTGGTCCCACAGCTCCCGGAGAGCCCTGACCTGGTACTTGGGACTGTCCTCGGAGATGCTGTCGAGCTGTTTGCTGAGCTGGTTGAGGCGGTCGTTGACGCCGTCCATCTCAGCGCAGAGCTGCTTGTAGCGCTTCAGGTCCGTGTCAAACTCCTGCTTGTATTTCTGGCGGGTGCCGTCCGAGGTGATGGGGGGGTAGAGGCTGTGGGAGAGGGGCAGGGTCAGGCCCCAGAGAGGTGGCTCTGGGTGCTTGGGGGCTTCCAAGGGTCCCCCCCCGTCCCTTACCTGGCCCACTGGTCCTGGTCCCGCTCATCGCCGGACTCCACGGCCGTGGTGTAGTCGGTCTCATACTGCGACTCGTCCAGCTCAGGGTTGCGCCGGCGCCGGCGGCCACGGCGAGCGGGGGGCTTGGAGGGCTGCTCCCGCGCCTTCTCCTCCGCCAGGCTGGGGCTGACCACCCGATCCGGCTGGTCACTGCAGGGGATGCGGGAACGTCAGCCAGCTCGGCATGGCGGGGGAAACGGGTGCCCAGGGTCCCCCCCTCTCCGCTCCGAGCCCTTCCACCCCTGCCTGGCCACTCACCCCCGGCTGCTGTAGGTCCCCGAGGGGTAGTACCCGTTCTGGGGGGGGTAGCTGTAGGAGGGAGGGCTGTAGGGCGGCGCAGCGATGGGGCTCGTCGGCTTCTCCGAGTAGGCAAGCGTGGCCATCTCGTCCTGCATGCTGGCCCCATCCGCCACGTTCTTCACCTGGAGTAGGAAGAGGCGCTCAGCCGTGTGCTGGGACAGTGGGGACACTCGCCCACCCTCGAGCGGAGCATGGACCGTGGCACATGGGGACACTGGTCTCCATCCCACGGGGCTGGAGACACCCCGGAGTAGCCGCTGCAATCCTGCCTGGGGGTCCCAGCAGAGCTGCAGTGGGGTGTCCCGCATGGCTATGAAGAACAGGACAGGGGGGACAAGGGATGGGGGCCCCCGGTCGGGCAGAGCAGCGTTTGGGGAGGGGGGAGGCTGCAGCATGTGCCCCGGAGAAGGGCCCACAGACCCCAGTGGGCAACATCGCCCTGCGGAGAGCCACCATGGGGGTCCCACTGGGAGACAAGCACAGATGGACACACAGCTTGGGGGGTCCTGGCACCCTGCTCTGCAACCCCAGGGTGATACCCCCCCTTCAGGCTTTGCCAGGGGCTGCACAGTCGCCCCGTCCAGCATCGCCCACCCCCAGACCCTCGCTGCTGCCCCGGCACGGCCAAGGCTCCTCAAGGAGGACGTGGGGCGTCCGACTGTCCCTCCCTCCCCCTTCCTTCCTGGCCTTTGTGGGTTGTTTCTGTCGGAAGCCGGTCCCTTCCCCGGGATGGTGACCCTGGGGAAGTCAGCTGCGAGCTCCGGCCGGCGGAGCGACTTCCTCCAGCACTTTTCCCGCCCTGACTAACGAAGACGCGGTTAATTGGGGGCCACTCTCGGCCCCGCTCTGCCTGACGGGGCTACCAGGTGAGACGGCCACCAGCAGCCACCAGCATGGGGACAGCCACGTCCCCATGCCGCATCGGGACGGAGGCAGCGGCACCCGGCAGCTCACGCCCGCTCGAAGGTCACCCGTTTATCTCAGTCAGGACTGTAAACAGGGAACAAGACGTCCCAGGAGGGTTTCACACCCCGGTACCTCCCCACGGCTGCATCCCCACCGAGCGGGGACGTGTCACCCGTGGGTGAGCCCACCCGGCTGGGATGGTGGCACCCGGCAGAGCGGGGACCCCCCCAAGGGGCAGGTGAGGGCAAGGGGGAGCCCGGGTGCCCCCGTGCCCCAGGCAGCCCAGCCCCCAGCGAGCCAGGAAATGCTTTGCAAGGGAGGGACTTTTAACAAAAATAAATAAAGGAGAACAAAGGTATTTCTGCAAAATGAAAAATAAATATTAGACCTACACACAGAGCGAGGCGTGGGGAAATGCGCACGGAGCAGAGCCGAGCTTTCTGGGGCTTGAGAGCAACTGTTGTGCTCGACTCTGGGTTTGCACTGAAGGTTTGGGATAAGGTCCCAGGCTCCAGTGGGGACCCCGGCCTCACAGGGATGGGGATGAGGATGGGATGGGGACGGTGACAGGGACAGGGATGCAGCTCCTGCCCATGCAGCGGTCCATTGCTGCCCGCTGTCCCAGCTCCTACGGGGGCCTGGGCAGCCCCTCCTCGGCCGGGGCACGGCAGCACCCCAAGAGCCACGCTCCAGGGCAGGGGCAGATTTCAAAGGCTCCTTCCCCATGGGATGCTGCAGAATTCCCACACCATCCCCAGGCACCGGCTCCCACGGAGACACCAGCTCGGGGAGCTGCAGAGCAAGGGACAGGACAGGGCACGTCCCGGCACGCAGTGGAACCAGGCTGGGACCAGCATCTCCCTGGGGCCGAGGGGGCTGAGTGGCAGCGGGGGGCTCCCCAGCATCCCTCACCCAAGGGACACAGGCTCATTCGAAGCCCAAATGGTGCCGGTTTGGTTGCTGCAAAGCCCCTGTCTCCCTCCACGGCAGTGGGGTGGCACAGCCCCGCAGAGCCGAGTTAATCATTGCCAAGATTGAAACCAAACGGTGTCAATGGGCAACGTCTCATGGCCGGCTTCCCCGAGCATGGGGCAAGCGAAGGGGAGAGGAGCCAGAGCCTCGGCGTTGTTCTGGCACCCGGCCCATCAGATCCCACCCTGTTTGTCTTTCAGGGAGCTTGAGACCAGCTCGCCCAGCCCAGCACCCTGTGCAAAGCCTCACAGTGCCGGGGAATGGTACCGGCTGGGAAAAAACACAGTGCCTAAATGGGGTGACAGGGAGGGACCCGGTGAGCACCGGGCACTGCGTCGCACCGGTGGCAATAACACCGCACCCCGGGAGCTGCCTGCTGTGGTGTGCAAACACGCTGGGACCAGGCACCGGCATGGCACAAGCCAGGGAGAAAGAGGGTCCTGGCACAAAGTCGTGGCCAGATTTGGCACAGCCCCGGTGCCGGGAGAAGCCCCAGGGTCCCCACGCAGCCCCTGTGCTCATGCCAGCACATCCCGACCCAGCGCTGCCTCGGGCACGTCCAGCCCTGCTGATCAAGAACAGGCAGGGAGGATGCTCGGGGGGAGGCGGTGGAAGACCCCCCCAGCCCTGGGTGCCCACCGGCACCCCCAGCCCACGCTCAGACTCACCCACTCCTCCACGTTGGGACCCTCCTGGACCACCGGCATCTTGTCCCAGTAGATGTTTGGTTTCCCATACTTCCAGATTTTGCTCCGCGTCTTGTGAGCAAAGAAGCAGATGAGGCAGAGTAGAATGACGATGAGGAACCCGCAGACGATGGCCACGGCCTGGGAGGGCAGAGGGAGGGGGCTCTCAAGGTGGGTGTCCTGTGGGGCTGCAAAGACCCCATCCTGGGGGTCCAGGTACCCCGCACCTCCCTGGGCTGACCGGGAATTGCTCCCCTCATCCCAAAATCCTCCTGATGTTGGACCCCCCGCCAAGGCAGAGGGAGAGAGGCTGGCCCCCCCCATGCCCGGGCAGTCAGGATGGAGTCCATTAGGGGTTCAAGAGATTTTGGGGCCAGCTCAAGCAATGGGGAGGGTGTTTGATTTTCCCACAGGGACAGGACAAGTTTGGGGCTCAGGGAGCAGCAGGGAGCTGGCACCCTCCAGCATCTGTGTGCAGCACCCCAACCCCACTGCCAGCTCGACCATGGGCCAGCTCCCACACTGCGCAGCCGGGTCCCTGCCCGGATGGTTTCCCATGAGCCAGATCCCTGCAGCTGCACTGAAACTGGGGCCAGGTGAGGACGAATTAGGCCACGCTTGGCCTTTGCATGGAGCAGGAGCAGCACGGGTGCCGCAGCTCCCCCCGCTCAGGGCACAGGAATGCGGCACGGCCAGCCCAGCCGGATGGGAACCGGCAACGCCAGTCCCAGCCCATGTGCCACGCAGGTTCCCCACTGGCCTCAGCCGAAACTGGGGCTGATGAACTTTGTTTTGAGGGCTCTCGCTGCCCCACTGACCTGTTGGGCTACCGAGCCAGGCTGGCAGCATCATGGGTGCTTGGGGAGAGCTGGCACCCAGCTGGCACCCTGACCCTGCACCCAGCCTGGCACATGCAGCCCGCCCCGGCCCCAGTCTTGTTCAAATACTTTTACGACCGGGGAGACCAAAGTACCAGAAACCGGGTCTGTGCTGGGACGACAGCCCATCCCCTCCCCCCCGAAACTTCCCAGCACGAGCAGCCGGCTCACCCCAGTTCCTCCCGGAGCCCCAGCTCACTCCGGCAAACAGCCGGGCTGGGATCCGGCACCAGCAGCCACCCCCTGCCCTCCACAGGCACGAAACGGTGACCGGTACCACCCAAAAAATTAAAGACGGAGGGGAAAACCCCGGCTGCGGGGACCTGGCGCTGCACATCCATCCCAAGGGCAGGACGCGTGGTCGCCGATGCTCTCCCTCCCGCGCTGCCCTTGCTCAGCATCACGTTTGAAGCAGAGCAAGGGGTTTGCGCTGCTGGTTTGGCTCGGGGCGGGCGGGGGGGGTCTGGCGTGCACCCTCACCTCCTGGGGGTCCACGGTGCAGTAGTGGTAGAGGTACTGGTTCAGGTAGTTGTTGCTGCTGTATATCTGGCTGCACATGGTCAGCAAGGGGTTGTAGTAGTAGCTGCCGGTCATCTGCGCCTGGGGGTTGACGCCCACGATGTAGACGATGGAGGCGATGAGCATGATGAAGGCTAGCACGGCGGAGACCACGATGACCACCAGGTAGAATCGACGGGAGCGAGAGCCGCTCGACTTGCTGACGCTGGCAACGAAGAGCCCCAGCTGGGCCAGGAAGCAGAGCACGGCTACGGCGATCATGAAGCCGTTGGCCGCCCGCGGGTTGGTGACCCCACCGTAGTAGCCCCCGTAACCGTAGCCGTAGTTCAGCCCACTGCCATAGTAGCCGGAGCCATAGTAGCCCCCCAGCCCGTTGCCATAAACCCCCCCAAAGCCGTAGCCGTACTCCCAGGCCAGGGTGGAGGCCACACAGGCGAAGATGGCGATGCAGAGGAGGATGACGATGGCCTCCAAGATCCTCACCACGCCAGGCGGCGAGGTCCACTTGTAGAAGTGCTGTGGCACGTCCTCGATGTAGTAGGAGCCCGGCGGGGGCGAGCGGGCACCGTAGTCGTAGCCATAATCGCCTGCGGGCGGACCGTAGCCCGTGGGGGGGCCATAGCCCCCAGGGGGGCCGTCGTAGGACTTCTTGCTGAACATGGTGGCGGCAGTGGAGAGCCTGGCGGGGAGATGGATGGAGCCGTCGGAGCTGATCGTGCACCAGGAGGTGCAGGTGCCAGCACTGCAGCCGCGCAAGGCGGCACTGCCGGGTTTCTACGTCTCCGCGCGCCCAGCAAGGACTTTGGTCTCCCGTCACCAGCCCGACAGCACCGTCAACAACCGCCCGCCCGTGCCCAGCACCACGCCACCAGAGTCACCGCCGCTCATGGGGAAACTGAGGCACGGGGAGAAGTGACTCACTGAGCATCTCCCAGCAAAAGCTGCCAGGTCACATCCCAGCCCTGCCCCACGCACGAGACCCTGCCATGCCAGACCTCCCTGGCCCCCCCAGCCACGGCCACCAGACACCACCTGAATGAATTGGATTGTTTAAATTCTAATTAAAACAGAAAACCTCTTACCCAAGGCTAGTGCTAACCCCGAGGGTTCCTCCGTAAGCAGATCTGGCTGGATTTAAAAAAAAAAGAATAACAACACAGGGCACATTAGCAACCCCAGTGCAAAGTGGCAAATTGGGTTTCAAAAATTTGTTTTTTTCAAAACTGACGCAGAGATGCCCCCCCAGCACGGAGACCCCCATCACGGAGCGGGGAGCAGCGCAAGGGAAACCTGAACCCTCGTGGGAAACCCAACCTGGCCGCCCGCTCCCGGCGGTGCCAGGGCTCAGCGGGCAGGATCAGGCCCTTGGGGTGGGGGTCTACGGGGGGGTTGGCACCCCTTGACCTGCAGCAAGGGTGGGCACCAGGGGTCTGGGGTGCAGCCGCCGTCCTGGGGGGGGGTCTGGGGCAGCACGTCCCTGGGGTGCCCAAGCCAAACGCCCCCCCCTGCTTCAGGGGGTCCCAGTCAGATTAACCCCCGGGGCCACGGTCTGACCCCCCCTGCCCCAGCGGGAACCCCCACCTGAGGGGCCACCGGGGCAATGGCAGCACCGGGGACCCCCCCCGCCCCCCCGAGCGGGGCTGGGGGTCTCAGGCTCCCGGAGCCGTAACCCGGGCACAGCCACCTGGAGCACCCCGGTACCGGCGGGGAGGACACGGGACCGGGGGCTCCGGGGGTCCCTTCCCCGCTGCGGGGGCACCGGGTGGGCAGAGGGCCCCCCGGCCCCGCTCCCCCGGGAGAAACTGCCGCCTCTCCCCTTCCACCTGCCGGGGCTCCGGCTCCGGGAGCACCCGTGCCGGTGGGGACCCCGGCGCCGGTGGAGAGCCCAGTACCGGTGGGGACCCCGGCGTCGGTGGGGACCCCGGTACTGGTACCAGTAGGGACCCCGGTGGGGACCCCGGCGCCGGTGGAGAGCCCAGTACCGGTGGGGACCCCGGTACCGATGGGGACCGCGGTGCGCGCAGGGGCGGCGAGGAAAGACAGACACCCCCCC